GTCTGTCCCCGGAGTACACACAATACCGCCTGCAGTAGCAAACCGAGTTATCCTGCCGAGTTTCTGCCGAGTTTTCCTGCATAATTTCAGCCATTTTTAGCCTTGCCGACCGCAAGTAAACATCGTTGAGCAACAGCAAAGTATTAGATTTCCAACATGATTTGCCCAGTTCAGTTCTGTTAATGCTCAGCTCAGCAATGACCATCCTATAGTCGGACCGGAGTCCGTTCACAATTTCTTCTTTGAGTGCTTTAAGCTGGTAAATAAGGGAATCACTAATCAGAAAAAGTAAATCCTAGATGTACCTAACTGCTTTCTTCGCTCACACGCGTATATGTGAGCGTCATAATTTAAATATCCCCAAATGTTGATCGGTAATTACGTAAGTTGCTCAGTTCATTTGCGAGGAACATCATTCGCATACCTAAAACAGTGGTCATAGCCTTATCTTTCGGAGAAAAAACAGGAGAATGCAGATATAGATGGGTTGATGTGTCGATAAAGGCAAGTCACCGAAAAATCAACCCATCTAGGTCTCCATTCTTTTGGTTTTTCTCCGAGGAAAAAGTCTATCACTAATGTCTCATGTATGTGTAATAGGAAGTTTGCTCGCATGAATTCTTGGACTGTCCGTTTTGATTCGTCATTGTTGCAACATCTGGCTGCAGATGTAAACCTACTGATCTTCACGTCTAAACAGAAGATGAAATCCCCGCCTCATATGTTATCACCAGCTCGCACTTCTTCGCACTTGTCAAGCGAGGTGCAAAAGGGGCTCGGGCTGTGTGTATTCGGACCGTATGTGTTTACTAACGTAACTGTGTTCCCGTTGATGTCGGCAACGGGAAGGACGAAACGACCTGATGACCACGATTGTTTGGTGGAAATGTCCGTGTCTGGATTGAATAGAATGGTAACCCCTCTGGTCCTGCTGTCGCCGTGAGCGAAGGCATCCCGTCCTCCTCATTCGTTCGGCCATATGTTATCAGCTGTGATATCTGAATTTGTCTCCTGTACAGACACGATATCCAATCTCCGTCTCTTAAATCAGAAAAAAATTGCATGCGTTTGCTCGCGTGCTCAGTGGATCGGAGTCCATCGACATTTTTAGACGCGATCTTAACAAGCCTCATGACTTAAGTAGAGACCTGTCATTGAGTGGACAAGAGAAACCTCCAATCAACCAGGCCTCCGCTCAGGGCGCGGGTGAATCAGAGACCCAGATAAATTCGCTCTCCCTCCTATTTCGGCCCCTACCCTGCTGACCAGCTAGGTCCTCTGGTTTCCTACCCACGCCCTCTCCCCACCTCAATCCCACCGCTGCGTTTGAGCCGGCCCTGGCCGTGACGCGATTGGAGCGGCCAGGAGCGCGCGGCAGCGTGCCAAGCCAGACGGCGGCCAGTTCCATTCACATCGGGAGTCCGTGGGTCAACAAGTCCCCATTGAGGCACGTGCCTGTCACTCGGGACCAGTGCCACCACTCAACCCTTTTCTATTTGGCCCCGACCACACAAGCACAGTGCTACAGCCTTCGTATCAAATGGTGAGTGTATGTAGCGCTGTGTCATATAATCCGGCATGCTACAGTGACCCACAAGACGCCCAAAATTTCGAACGTCCCGGAACAGGAAAGAAATAAAAACACGCATAGAAGGCACACACAAAAAGGCACGCGAGTGGCAAGACGTGTGCACGTCCAATTAACTGGATAACGGAACCGAATGTAATTGTGTGCTCTTTCACGACGTTTACCAAATCTGACGACCGGTCATTCGTGACGCAAGTATCTCCCCCCCCCCCCCTTCAGGCAGACCGCGACCAAAGCGCCTCCAGGCCAAGCGTCCTACCTCAGAGTCTGCCCCTCGGCGCAGCATGGACGCCGCTGACGTTTACCGTGGCCTAGTGCTCGCGTGGCCGCCCGGCACGCCAGCCAGGTTTAACGCGGAGGAGCGGCCACACCGACCGCCCGGCGCACGGTCTCGGTCACTGTAGCCTGGACGCACACCGTGCGGGATATCGGCGACGACGGATGCTTCGCAGCCCGCCGGCGGGAGCGGCGGCACACCCATAGGCACATTACTTGCGTAAGGTCTGTCTTTTTACAGCAAACTTCTGCAACGTTTTGGACCTAGTCTGAGACTTGTAAAAGGAAAGTATCAGACAACATATGTGCTGATACTAGTTCTATCGGCACAATGCAAGCTGGCTCTTGGTTCTTGCAGGACCCTCTACATACCTAAGGCCATATATTGGATTCATGTCGAGCTATATTCAAGCTTAATCCTATTTTTGGCTGAGCCCGAGCTCAATTCAGTGCTAGGTGCTGGTTCTTGCCGGATCTCCGAATTGATTCCAAACTGGTTCCTATGATTTCCTGGTTCATGTGCCAGGAACGAGGAACTGGCTAGAATGAAATCCCGGAAAGAAATCTCGGGAACCAGGTAAATGGCTGTTCGGTGATATGCGTATTTATCTTATGCTTATGCTTATGTTATCTCATGCTTATATGAAGATATATGCTTACATATCTTCGGTGTAATAATGTTGGCCAGCATCGCCGCACGTCAATGCGTGTCCATACATCACGGTGGCTCGGTGGTGTAATAATGCCGGCCAGCAACCCCGCACGTCAATGCGTCTCCGTACACCAGGGTGGCTCGGTGGTGTAATAATGTCGGTCAACATCGCCGCACGGCAATGCGTCTCCGCACATCACGGTGGCTCGGTGGTGTAATAATGCCGGCCAGCATCGCCGCACGTCAATGCGTCTCCACACACCAGGGTGCATCGGTCCGTTAGGATTGCCAGTTTGCCACCCCATTATTAAAGAAACAAGCATCAAGCTGGCAATATTGAGTGCCTGGTAACTCGGAAGTGAACTCGCTGGAGTGGCTTTCGGTGGGCTGATAGGCTCAACTGCTCGCTCCCTCGACCGAACGCAGCATCCTTGCTATGAAAGAATGTGGCGGCTGCGCTCTACTCACTGAGACGTGTGAATTCTTCGTTGTCGCTACCGTCTGTTGCTGGTGCGGATCCCCTCTATTGCACTGGGTGCGGCTGGTGCTGACGGACCAGCATCGCGCGACTATGACCGTGCGATGCCACCAGCGCAATTTGCAAGATGACGCGGCGCAACTGGCATCACACCACGCACGGCGCCGGTGGCGTGGTCGCGCTGACGTTTGGTAAACTGCTGAAGCTGCCTCTGCGCCCACCTTATGTTTGCGATGTGATGCATTTGAAAGTCCAGAGTCTACGCATAGTGTTCTTGTGACAGGAGTGAGGAGACGTGGTAGTGCGTAGTGGGGCGTGAGCTATCTTGCATTTCGTTCATAGCTGTGCTGAACACGGCACCAGTGCCCTCCCCCCCCCCCCCCTTGGGTGTCGACTTGAGGACTGGCCGCTGTTTAGCCAGGTGCACTTGGGTGCCCCAGCGTCGGCATGAAGCTGTTTGAGAATTACGTCGGGAGTCTGGGACTGAAGAGGAATGAGAGTCAGTGACCTCTGTTCACTCTGTTTTAGACACATGACAGAGGGGCTGGCCTCCGGTCGCTTTATGGTACAGGAACAGACCCACCTATGTTGGACCCGCCGTGATGGCAACGGCCTTTTTAAAACGCGTGGACCGGACTGTGTGTTTAACCTATAGTCCTTCATCATTTTGGAGCGCGTGAGATGAACTGTGTAAGGAGTCTGCTGAGGGCACAGCGGTCGCCTTTGGACACGTGGCCTGGAATCTTTGTGGGGCCCGCTGAAGTCACAGCGGGTCACTTCGACTGTGTGTTTGCATGCTGAAGCTCGCCGAGGCTTTAGCGGCCACCTGGGGGCGCACGACCTAACTGTGTGTTGATCTTGCTGAAGCCACAGGGGTCATCTTGGAATGTGCTGAGGCCACAGGGGTCATCTTGGAATGTGTGGTCCGGGCACCGTATGGAGGCTGCTGAGGTAACAGCGGGAGTCGTCTCGCAACTGTGCTCTTGAGGACTGCTCTGAAAACATCGCGCCAACCACCGCGGTTCATAACTGGTATATCACAGGCTATCCGTTCAAGCACAGCCGGGACAACCAGATCAGAGAGATGGTACGGTTCGACCTTCAGGCTGACCCGACTCGGCACCCGTAAGCACCCGCTGGTAAGGACAGAGAAACCGACGACGGTAAAGGCGCGAGAACGGTGAGCGTGCCATGACATGACCTGAGGAAGGTAACATTTGTCGACAAAATCCGCATCGCCCGCAGGGGCACCGGTTTCGACCAGTTTAGGGGACTAGCGTCCCCTAGGGTCCCAGCTCCTGTAACGGGTGGACAGCACAAGCTGTTCCTCTCAGGGCGTAGCGAACTTGCCGGTACATGAGCTCCCGCTCCTTGTCCCGCCCGCTCCCTTCCCACTACCCGCTTTCCCGCACCCGGCCCACTCATCACTCCTAATCCTCGTTTTATCGGGGTCGCTGTGCCCCCTCGCCCGCGTCCCCGGGTTGATCGGATCCTGGTGGCCAAGGGGCGCGTCGTGCGGGTCGGTAGTCGGCGCACACTAAATCTCCAATCAACAACAACAAAATCCGCATCAATACAAAAAGCGAATAGAAATTAACTTTAAGTTTGCATGCAATAGCCGACGTGACTGGAACCGACAGGTGAACAACGATACCGTTCGGAAGTTCGGAAGGATACGCAGCGCGCGTGACCACGCCCAGCGCCTGCTGAGTGGAATGAGCCAGTGACGTCACACTAACGTTGAGCGCGTGGGGCGCTAAAATTGCCGGATGATACCCCCCCCCCCCCCCCCATAGACGTCCTTGGGTAATGTGTTGTCATGGGAATGTGTACGGATGTAGAATGTGCTGTTGCAATGATTATTTACCTTGCGACGTAAATTTACCTGGCGTACTTTATTCTGACGACAGACTAGGGTTTTACCATTTTTTGCCCTCGCTCTTCAAGAGCCAAAACTACCTTTTAGATACTGGATGTGTACAGGTTTGCTCTGCTCCTTGGCCTGGGTTGTTTTCAAGTTCCATGCCATTGCCATAAGCGATGTAATTTTTGTTGCCAAAATTCTCAAGCCTTTATTGTTATCCATGCTGGCTTATGTGGAAAGACTGACATAAATGACAACAGTATTATGGTATAAAAGGTATTTTCAGCTTAAAAAAGCAGGTCTGTTATGGGCTAGATGGAATGAAAGTGTGACCTCTAAACTGTCAGTTTCACAAATGCTGTCATTTCTTTTGCTTCATTTTCTTTGAATATAGCACCTTAACTTAATGTTTGAGTCTTATGCATCTGTGAAGTTTGAAAGCCAGCCAGGTCTGAGCTGAGTCAAATCATTTGTATTACATTATTGTTTTTTTCATTTTTTGTTGCATACATGGCTGCTTGCAGGGTGTTAATAAGAGGGTGTACATGTAAATGGGATATTATGCTAATGAGGATTTGTATGGTATGCATTGTTGGTATTGAGAATGCTGTTTATAATATTTTGCATTGCAATGCAGGCAATGGACTGTGCTTCAATTTGCTTAAGTTCACTTAAGTTCACTTAAGTTCACATTTGCTTAAGTTCACTTAAGTTCCATAATGAACCTGATCAAGTGCTCAAGTTCCCTGTCAGGAACAGCTGTAAGCACTGAAGGACTCAAACAATATAATGGCACCTTGAGAGTTGAAACTCTGAACAAAATTTATCTCATGCATGGTCTGACAAGTTTACTGGTATGTTTGCCATGGCTATGGTGCACTAAAATCTAAGAGCTCAGGTTTACAAACTGCCTGCTCTGAAATAATTATGATGGTGCTGCTGCTATAACCTGTGCCTTTAGTGTAATGTGTATCTTTTGCTGTCTGGGGTTTTGGCAGCCTCTGGGATCACCAGCCCACCTGATCACATTGATGGACTTTCATTGAACAGTTCACAAACTAATTAACAGAATATATATATATATATATTTATATTCAATATAGGACTAATTATGTCACAAGCCTTTCTTGAAATATGAGATGCTTTTAAAGTTGGGACCCCCACCTAGCCTGTCATGGTCATCATGCTTTTAAGATTTGAGGAGCAGCCTGCAGGACAGCTGATACCATCATTATGCAGCTTCGAGGGATGGCTGTGCCTTGTGCATCCTCCAAAACAGAAGGTGGTCATGCACCTTCAAAATACACTTAACATAATAATATCCACCATAATACACCCTAAAAAATTTGACAGATGATTGTATGCACCAGCCTTACACAAAGTACCACTCCTAGAGGGCAACAAATGCAAGCATGCAAAATTCTGTGTGAAAACCTGGCTCAGTGCAGGTTACATCATGTAACTTACATGGACTATAAGCATGAGGCAATCATGAAATCTGTCAGTACACTGCCAGTTCCTCTGTGTCTCGAGTCGTAGAACCAGTCTGTGCTCACAGTGGCTGGATGGTTAGCTTATTGGTCTCCCTCAGGGCAGACCCAGGTTCGAGTGGTGATGATGGCTGGTCCATGGTGATAATATGCATTTGTGATGTAATATGCATTGGTGATCATAAGTTTGTTGTGGATAGTGCTCTGCACCGCAATTCGGACCGTGAGGTGAGCTTCAATTTGACTTGGACTCCTAACCTAACCAATCACCGAAATTGGGCTAAAATTTCAAGGTGGACACTTACTAAGAAATTTAATGATTTAAAGGGAGTGTCCCACATTTCTTTGAAGCTTTGAATTGAAATGGCCAGCTTGAAATCATTCGGTGCAGTGCATAGCCATCCTTCTTAAAACCTCAACCTTCAAGTTTCTGAGGACCACACTCGCGAAGATGGGAAAACTATTTTGGGGAGAGTATTTCAAGGTCACCTTGGCATTGATAGGACGCCATAAGAACGTCATCTAGGTCCTGCCGCTCCTTAAGCCATGCGGTGATCAAGGCCAAGAATACAATGGTCAAGTCTTTCATATCTGACATTCGTGAACATGATTTCCAGATGTAACGGCCGTCCATCGGCTCTCATTCAGTATTGTGGAGGGTACGGTAACGTTATCAAACAATGACGTATCGAGGAGCATATGTACCAAATTGAGCAGTTGTGTTGCCTTGAGCAGTATTTCCACTTGGAGGTAATCCAGTAGTTATGAGTGAGCTTATTTCATCATATCTGATGCTTTCTTAAATATCCTCAAATGTGAAACGTTCGCTTTGATGAAGTTGTTCACCGTAATGCGTGCCTTATTTCCCAAGTACACTAAGAAAATATCTATAAAAAAAACGCTATCGAGTAGATTGGCTGAGTTTTTAACAGAGAAGTGAAGCAAATCACCAATATGTAGTAGGAAATCGATAATTTGTACCAGAATATAGGATATTCAGCCCACTAGTGAAAACGAACATTCATTAATCCAAACTGGCTTAAACTGCGAATGTTTTGGGGCGCAGACGCCACTTTTTAGAATGGAGTTGCGTTCTGAGAGCGAATCGCCGACTTGCATTGCGTTTCGTACGTGTCTACACATCCAGGGGCGCAGGTCAGGGATATATTTCCCGCTAGGCCCCAAGTGGCTCTCGGGACCCTGGGAACAGACCATCAAGAGTCCGATTAGAAGGCCCGTAGTGCTGGCTGGGGGCGGCCCTGGGTCGAAGGCCCGGGCCTTGAAAGTCGTCAGCCGAAAGGACTTGTTGCACCTATGGGGGTCTTACGGACGACGAATGCGTCAATGTATGTCCGAGGCTACCAATGCTGAGCAGTTGGTAGTCGTTATACTTACAGTCTGGGGGTCTTATGGGCGACGAATGCGTCAATGTATGTCCGAGATTACCAATGCCGAGCAGTTGGCTCTGAGTCTGCTTGGGTCCTGGGAGCCGATTTACGGAGCGGGGACGAGGCCGGCGTCCGCGACTGTTACTGAAGGCCTCCAGTGTTGGCTAGGGCCCCTGAAGCAAGATGGCTCCCTGCATCGACGCACAGAGTGCTTAACAACGGGGCCTGTGTCGGGAAGAGGATCCTAGTCTATAGAGGCACATTTTGCTGAAGAATAGGATTGGACCCGGAATGTTAAAGAACCACTTGCGTTGGTCCAGGGTCCTCTTGCCTGATATCGAGTGGAAATGCGAAAAATGAAAATGAAGTGGTCCACAATGCAACAATACAAGGGTCCCACCTGTCATGCGCCCATAACTGAACAGTTCGGGGGCGGGGGGGGGGGGGGGGATTTAGGGTTCCTGGGCCCGGGCCCTAAAGCCGATCCGGGACCCGCCGTCGTATAACCCTAACTGTGGCCGACACGGTGGTTCATGTACGTAGTTGGGTGTTGTGTTGCCATAATTGTCTTAAAACCATTCTGACTCGATGATTTTGAGATCAGACCTCACGCAAAGCAGGATTGCTCTGTGTGCTCTATGGCTGCACCTTCCTATTGTGGAATTGCAGTTGTACGGCAGAACGTTATGGAAAATGTTGGATGTGCCATAATGCGTGGCATGGTTCCCACCATTGACCTCGCTGATACTGAGCAACCGATGCCACCGGCCGCGGACCATCTAAGTCAGATGCCAAATAGCGAGCGCATAGAGACGCAGCCAAATGGAGGATGCAGAGGCCCTGCCCCACCCGATGAGTTCTCACTGGGCCCCCCCCCCCCCCCCCGCCCCATGTGCTATCATCATGGCTGTGACCCTGCGGGCGCGTAAATGACTACTTGAACCCACATACCGCAGCGGATGGGACAGGATCGCAAGGAGCTGATATCGATTGAGCTACGGAGGGCGAAAAGCTGTGCTCTGGGTTATGATTTAATTCATTTTGATGATCGTTTCTGCCCTTCCACCGGGGCAATTGGATGCCTCAGTCGTGATGTTTGGTTGGTTTGGTATACCAGATTTTAACTGGCACCATTGGTGATACATCAGCCTTTCTGGTAATAAACGGCCTAGTGAGTGCACGTTTCGGCCTAATGATTCAGTTGGTAATCAGGGTGTGTATTTTGATGATGTGTGTGCCCATTTTCGCTGTACAATTAACTTTGACCCGATTGATAATATAGAAACGGATAAGCAGTTGCACCATCGCGGACCGTTGCGGGAATTGGGTTGTGGAGCTGAAAGCATAACGATACGATCTCTATTAGGCAGAGATCGTATCGTTGTTAGGTTACTGTAGCTTTTAATCTGCATCAGGGACAACCTCAAAATTTTAAACGTGAAGCATGCGCCCGAATCTAATCTTTGAATAGTGCGAATTTATTTTGGAAGACTTTCGGAAGCGTTATTTCATGACAGTCGTTTCCGCGCGCCTGGCCCCGCCGTTTGGTGTTACTGCAGCGACCAACGCCTTTGATTCAACGGAAACTGCAATCCGGTCATAGCGTTTCCTGCGTCTAAGATTGCTAGCGCTTATGCACACAATTTTGTATTTAATTTGTTTCGCAAATCGGTGCTGCAAGAGGATGGGCATTCTCGGGTAAAAATGGGATGGGGCCATACCATGAAGACGGTATGTTACCCTCCCATGCCACCCCCCTTCCATAAACCGCATAAACCATATAACCCTTCTTTCCAAGGGGCATCAAATTCCAGGGACACCGCGAAGGGTCCCGAATTTGCATTTTCGAGAGGCTTCAAATTACAGGGTCATACTATGTGTGTACCTTGTCCGTTTCACGAAATCCTGGATCGGCCCGTTCGGCAAGAAGAGCACTAAAACCATTATTTCCCACACCATAATTTCTCAAGAAGCGCCCAATTCCAGAGGGTACCACGAGGAGCCGCAAACCTCCATCCTCAGAAGACAGCATTGCTTTGCGTCCTACCCCGAACGAAATCCCGAAACAATTCCTCAGGCAAGGTGCGCCAAATCCTTTATTTCTTGGCACAATGACCTTTATTCTCAAGAAATACTGCCCTGCGCTTCACCGTAACGTAATTCCTGATCGGTCTGTCATTCTTCGTTCGAAAAGTTGTGGTACCTACATTTTTCCTTTTGGGGAGTCAACCTGTATTTTTCAGATACGCCCAATTGCACGAGGCACCTCGAAGGGTGCCCAAACATTTATTTTCAGTAGATGGCAAGAGTGTGGGAAATTGCGATACCTGTGACGTTCCATTGACGAAATCATGAATCGGTGCATTCGGCAAAGGTACACCAAAATCTTCATTTCGCAGTGCCAGGACATTTATTTACTGTAGGCAACAAGTCCAAGTGGGCCATTAAAAATATCCCGAGCTTTTCATTTTAAGGGACGCCACGATTTCTTTGTTTTTCGTCCTGACCGAACTCGGGGTCGATTCCTTCCTCAAAGGAACCGCGCACAACATTCATTGCGGAGTATCGTAAACATTATTTAAGCAGACCCCCAATTCCAATGATGTCACTATGGGTTGCAAAACGTTAAATTTCCAGAGGCAATACGACTCGGGGCATCACACTGCTAGTGCCTCCAATTGGTGAAATCCGGGATCAACCCATCCGCCACTGGGTCACCAAAAATTTGATTTTGGGGCAGCTTGACGTAAATATTTGGCAGACACCAAACCTAAACGGGTCATTTTAGGGATCCAAACATCTTCATTCTCAAAGGGCACCAAAATCGGGGGCTACACAACTTCTGTGCTTTCCACCCCGACCGAGTAGAAGTCGTAAGTCGGGCCTCTCGTCGAAGAGATACCCGGCGCCTTCATCTCCGGTCATCACTACCTGTATTTCGAAAGGCACCCACTTCTGAGGAGGCGCCGCGAAGGCTTCCAAGCTCTTAAATTTAAGTAGCATCAAATTCCAGAGGGCACAAAAATTGACCCATTTTTATTTTCACGAGGAACCGAGGGCGCCACTATTGTTGTGGAAAGGACGAGTGACCTACCTTAGGTCTTAAGGTTCTCAGGTCCCAAAGGGCCTTTTGGGCCCCTAGGGAACGACGATCAAGGGTCCGATCGAAGGGCCGGAAGGGCAAGCCGGGGGATAAAGGAACCTCAGCCAGTAGGCAATACCGAACACCCCGTCCCGCGCCGGTCTTGGCCCTGGTGCGCTTCCTCAAGTCGGGGCAGGGCCAAACCTGCAAATGTTAACCCGAAAGATCGTGCATTGGTCTGGTCCCTGTACTGATCAAGGCCTCACAGTGCCCAACCAGGGGTCATTGTCGGCAATGAGCGCAGTCGGCCATGGGCACGTTTGCTGAACAGGGACAGGAGTGGGAACTCGAATATCAAAAGGCCTATTGCGTTGGTTAGGACCCTCTTGACAGTGATAAGAGACATAACAATGATAATGCAGCGATATGCGCTCACAATGAAGCAGTGGCGTGTGCCTGTCAAAGGTCACGGCACCGAACGGGGGGCCGAGGCTGGGATCGTTAGGCCGAGTTGGCGTTTTGGCGCTAATCACGCATTGGACTACCTGTGCCGGCAAGGGATCCTTTTGCGTCAGTGACGTTTGTCTGCGTCGATCCTGTGCCAGGTGTCCGAGTCAGAGGGCCGCTGCATCAGGAATGCGACCGGGCATGATGTATCCCTCTTGATTTCCGGATCGACCAGGGCACCCCGGTCCCCGTATTGCCAGAATAGCAGTTCCTAGTTACCCCGGGCTGGGACAAAAGGGCTGTTCAGCTCCTGACCAGGGTCTGTCATCTGTCAATCTATCTGTCATTTGGAGGCAGATCCTTAGAACGGAATTCGTTGTTGCAGCATCACGAGCAACCGAGATTGCGCCATCGCGTCATGAGTCAGTGTTGCTGTACATGCTAAAACAATATGAAAATGTGTGGGCAGTGTTCTGCGAAATGCGGATGTATTATATATTGCGCATTGCCTATACTGCGGATTACAAGATGCGCTTTTTAGGCAGGCAACTGCTATGTCATGCTACAACATTATTGTTTGAACGCAGAACGATTTTACGTGCCCGGGGGCGCAGCACGTAATATCCTAATATACTTGTTTTTAATACCCAGAACGTATATTGTTCATGCATGGCTCGTGCCACATTCCTCAGTAACAATTTCAGAAATGTTCTTACTCGTTGAACACACTCAAAGCATGCAGCACAAGATTGGACATTTCCATATTAACGATACAAAACATGTTCCTCATTCTAGGGAGCTGACTGTAATTTTTACTTCAAGAAAGGATAACGCGTCAAATGTCTGAATTTTAATAGCCTGGTCACTTTCTGCTACCACCGCCAACATTGCAACATTCACGTCATGACATCACTCCAGTGGAGTTGGACAACATATATGTTATTGTTGTTGCGTTTAACCGCTGAGGGAGTTGTCTCCTCGCGGTGCCCGCCCTTTTTTGCCGTGATGAGAGGCAGGCATCGTCACTTAGTCCCAGAAGCGTTGTAAAGCCCCAGTGATGGACAGCCACCCAATATGAGATCAGCAACTTACAACATGTTGTTTTCTGCCGGTTTCAATTTGCGTAAGTTATTTGGCATTGTGTTATATGAGTGTCTCGGTGCAATATCAAACTATGAGTGAGTCTCCACAAAACCCTAGGTAATTTTCACTTCGAATAAATGATAGAGTATCGGGAGCCAGGTTTCACATGGTGAAGGCCGAGCAGAGCATAGCGATGGCGTAGCCAACTGTTGGGGAGTGGGGCGAGACAAACATGGGGGAAGGGCGGCCAAGATTGAGAGGGCGCAGCTCAACATATGGGGCGCGAGGGGAGGGACACAAAGTTCCACCCCTTACAGGTTTTGCATCATCACTCCCGGTCAAGACCTTAAAGTTCACTCCTTCCCAACGCGGGGTGCCCACCGGCTGCCGCTCCTCAGGCATGGAGGCGGGGTCGCCTGGTTGGCCCGAAGGCCCGTACAGAGATGCTTAATACATTGGTGCCCCGCCTGATACAGGAGGCCCTCTGACCCGGGCCTTTGGCCCCGGATCGGCGCAGGAGCCCTCATTGACGCAACAAGATCCTCTATCGCCGTGGATGGTCCAGTAACTGGTACAGAGGCTCCCGTTGGCCTAACGGGCCCTCGGTTGGAATTGGTATAATTTGTATCTCGTACAGCCCATTTCAGAGAATACATTCTGAACTTGCTAAGTTCAGTGCAATAGTAAATAGCGTAACACGCAAAATCAATCCGGTGGTTGTGTAAATTGTCGTTGGGTTTTGTTCCTATAGAAGCACAATTACTGCCACTATATGTTCAGTTTCCACCTCACGTCCTTATCTTTAGTAATACCTGGCAAATGTATTCCGCGCTGATAGCTGGGCGCCTCGCTGGCCACGTATCAACCGTGGCGCGGTGGGTTCGAGTCGCTTTAGGCGCCCGCTATTTACTCCTCACTGGGATGGCGTGTGACCAGTGGGAGAAATGCACTAAATGTCAGGTGACACAAAAGATCGATATTTACAAGGCGGGCGTTGCGGGTGTGGTGTCAATCGTTCGCCGCGAACTTCTGCCGCGGGCCCGAATTTTTACGATGATATGCTGATTGCTGTGGACGAAGGTCATGCAACAAATCAGGACTGCTAAAATCCATGGAGTGAGAGAGTTGGGTGTTGGAACTAAGTTAAAAAACTGCATTCTTTTGCAGGCAAACAGTGTTGCTAGCATGGCACTTAAGGGCGTCCGTGTGGTAGAGCTGGCTGGTCTGGCGCCTGCCCCGTTCTGCGGCATGGTACTCCGCGACTTCGGTGCATCTATCATCCGGGTCGACAAGGTAGGGAAATAACCCCAGCAGACTTCGGCTAGTGCTGGTGTTTTCACTGGCGTATGTTGTACTGAGTAGAAATACATTTGGCATAGCGCCCATGGATTATCACACCAAATGGGGCTCTTTAAATAGCACGTATATTGGTATCAGCATTTAATGTCCTGAGTACCCCTGAAAGGCGTGCTGGTACACACAATGCTCGTGCACGTCGGTGTACACCGAGAGCGTACGGTGACTGTTGATTTAGGAGTGGGTCTGTTAAATGAAATCTTGCGGGTGTAGTGGTTAAGCTGCACGCCAGGGAGATCAGAGGTGCGGGGTTCGATTCCCGGCGGTGCTCGCCCATCCTGCCAGAGCGAGAGCCAGGCGACGCCATGTAGTCCTCGGCAGCTGAGTGTATCGCAAGGCCCCAATGACGGAAATGACATGTTTTTCACATGCCCACGCCGTCTTGGTCTCTCGCATCAACACAGATTTCCCATGGTTTTGGCATGTCAATGCGGTCTGTTGCGTGGTCGTCGGTTCCTCTGCGTGCCACCGGCCATGGGCGCGCCTGGCTGTGGCCCGCCGTGGGCGCTCACCCACCGCCAGATGGGTCAGCCCGTGAGCGCGCCTGGCTGTGGCCCGCCGTGGTTGCTCACCCACCGCCAGATGGGTCAGCCCGTGAGCGCGCCGGGCCGTGACCCACTGCGGGCGCTCACCCACCGACCCACCGCCAGATGGGTCAGCCCGTGAGCGCGCCTGGCTGTGGCCCGCCGTGGGCGCTCACCCACCGCCAGATGGGTCAGCCCGTGAGCGCGCCGGGCCGTGACCCACTGCGGGCGCTCACCCACCGACCCGCCGCCAGATGGGCCAGCCCGTAAGCGCGCCGGGCCGTGACCCACTGCGGGCGCTCACCCACCGACCCGCCACCAGATGGGCCAGCCCGTGAGCTCGCCGGGCTGTGGTCCGCTGTGGGCTCCCAACCACCAACCCGCCGCTAGATAGGTCAGCCGTGAGCTCGCCTGGCCTTTATCCACTGCGGGCGCTCACCTGCCGACCCCCGCCAGATGGGCCAGCCCGTGAGCTCGCCGGGCCTTTATCCACTGCGGGTGCTCACCTGCCGACCTGCGCCAGATGGGCCAGCCCGTGGGATCGCCGGGCCTTTATCCACTGCGGGCGCTCACCTGCCGACCCCCGCCAGATGGGTCAGCCAGAGATGGACCGACTGGCGCGCGGAAAGCGGTCCGTGTCGGTGAACCTGAAGCACAAGGAGGGCGCCCAGGTGGTGCGCCGGCTTTGCCGCGGCGCTGACGTCCTGCTGGAGCCTTTCAGACCAGGTCAGCGTCACGCGTGTGGGGCGTCGGTAACCCAGCTGGTGATGGGACATAGCGGCGTCGGTAGCTTAGCTGGTGATGGGACATGGGGCGTCGGTAGCTCAGCTGGTGATGGGACATGCGGCGTCGGTAGCTCAGCTGGTGATGGGACATGCGGCGTCGGTAGCCCAGCTGGTGATGGGACATGGGGCGTCGGTAACCCAGCTGGTGATGGGACATGCGGCGTCGGTAGCTTAGCTGGTGATGGGACATGGGGCGCCGGTAGCTTAGCTGGTGATGGGACATGGGGCGTCGGTAGCTCAGCTGGTGATGGGACATGGGGCGTCGGTAGCTCAGCTGGTGATGGGACATGGGGCGTCGGTAGCTCAGCTGGTGATGGACATGGGGCGTCGGTAGCCCAGCTGGTGATGGGACATGGGACATCGGTAGCCCAGCTTAATGGTCGCAGCACGTGCTGCATTACCAGCAGGAGAGGTGCTGTTTTCGTTCGCACGTTGTGTAACGCTGCTCTGGGTCTCCATTTCGTGTGTTAAATGGTCGCGGCGGATCCTCCCACGGGCTGAGTATCAAACGCATATAGGTAAAGCATGTTGACAACCAGCGTTACCTGCGCGCCCACATGTCCGTCGATGGGTGACAAATTGTCAGTGAATACGTGGTGGCCCTTCGTGCCCTGATCAGCCGTCAGTCTCCGACAGCAAGAGTAACGCGACCGTCGCGCCCGGACGCCGACCGACGGTCGACGCCGCCTCACCCGCGCCCCCGCCTGCAGGTGTGATGGAGCGGCTAGGTCTGGGGCCGGCGCCTCAGCCGCCAGTCCTCGATAGTGGGGGCCCGGACGCCGACCGACGGTCGACGCCGCCTCACTCGCACCCCCGCCCGCAGGTGTGATGGAGCGGCTAGGTCTGGGGCCGGCGCCTCAGCCGCCAGTCCTCGATAGTGGGGGCCCGGACGCCGACCGACGGTCGACGCCGCCTCACTCGCACCCCCGCCCGCAGGTGTGATGGAGCGGCTGGGTCTGGGGCCGGCGCCTCAGCCGCCAGTCCTCGGTAGTGGGGGCCTGGACGCCGGTCGACGGTCGACGCCGCCTCACCCGCGCCCCCGCCCGCAGGTGTGATGGAGCGGCTGGGTCTGGGGCCGGCGCCTCAGCCGCCAGTCCTCGGTAGTGGGGGCCCGGACGCCGGTCGACGGTCGACGCCGCCTCACCCGCGCCCCCGCCCGCAGGTGTGATGGAGCGGCTGGGTCTGGGGCCGGCGCCTCAGCCGCCAGTCCTCGATAGTGGGGGCCCGGACGCCGACCGACGGTCGACGCCGCCTCACCCGCGCCCCGCCCGCAGGTGTGATGGAGCGGCTGGGTCTGGGGCCGGCGCCTCAGCCGCCAGTCCTCGGTAGTGGGGGCCCGGACGCCGGTCGACGGTCGACGCCGCCTCACCCGCGCCCCCGCCCGCAGGTGTGATGGAGCGGCTGGGTCTGGGGCCGGCGCCTCAGCCGCCAGTCCTCGATAGTGGGGGCCCGGACGCCGACCGACGGTCGACGCCGTCCTCACCCGCGCCCCCGCCCGCAGGTGTGATGGAGCGGCTAGGTCTGGGGCCGACGCCGCTGACGGCCGACAACCCCGGCCTGGTGTACGCCCGACTGAGCGGCTACGGCCAGACGGGGCCGGCGGCCGGCTGGGCCGGGCATGACATCAACTACCTGGCCATGTCCGGTGCGTCTGCCGCGCTCGCCGCCGCGTTCCGGCACCGGCTCCCCTGCCGCCACTGGTAGCATGTGGACTGTGTTGTGGACATGGGATGGGTTCGTGTTTGACTTTTACCTCGGGAATACAGCAGGGCTAGAATATTGTGAGACGGCATTTGCTGGTGGAACGAGATTCTCGAAATATCATATCTCACATCTGATTTGGTCGCGAGATAAGAGTTGAGAATAATGTTTAGGTGTGATGAATTCTCTACGTCCTGATTACAACGCTCCAGAAGCCGCGGAAAGAATTATGGGGATATGAATTTCGTTTACTGCAAGAAATACCGGCATCATTGCAAGGTTCCAGAACCTGGTAAAGTAATTCAGGGGAGATTAATTTGGTTTACTGCCTCACATACTTATTAGTGATATGATGCGAGAGTGTGGTTCTGAATCCTACCCAACCGCTTTAATTGGGATATACCTTGCGTGCTCATTCGGTAACATGAGGCAAAACATCAAAATCGAGCATCTGGGTGGCTTCTTCACATGCACGCCACCTGCTTCCATTTTATTGTTATACTGCAGCCGCTATGAGATGATGCCATGTCAGTCATGTGAGCTTAATCTTTCAGCTCGACCGCTGCATCGCCATAACAAACGGCGTCTTTTGTGCTCTGGTGCCGTGTCCACGCACAGATCGTTTTGAGACATCGCCCACTGAGCGCGGTAGCAGAAGCGGCAATCTGTCGACGAGCGGTCGACTTAGGTAGAACTGAATGCTGATGTCAGCTGGCGCCAGCGTTCAGAGCTGGCTGCTCCCTGGTCCAGCTCCCCCAGCTGGCGGCTTCCTGCTCCAGCTCCCCCAGCTGGCTGCTCCCTGCTCCAGCTCCCCCAGCTGGTTGCTCCCTGGTCCAGCTCCCCCAGCTGGTTGCTCCCTGGTCCAGCTCCCCCAGCCGGCGGCTTCCTGGTCCAGCTGCCTCAGCTGGCTGCTCCCTGGTCCAGCTCCCCCAGCTGGCTGCTCCCTGGTCCAGCTCCCCCAGCTGGCTGCTCCCTGGTCCAGCTCCCCCAGCTGGCTGCTCCCTGGTCCAGCTCCCCCAGCTGGCTGCCCCCTGGTCCAGCTCCCCCAGCTGGCTGCCCCCTGGTCCAGCTCCCCCAGCTGGCTGCCCCCTGGTCCAGCTCCCCCAGCTGGCTGCCCCCTGGTCCAGCTCCCCCAGCCGGCGGCTTCCTGCTCCAGCTCCCCTAGCTGGCTGCTCCCTGGTCCAGCTCCCCCAGCTGGCTGCCCCCTGGTCCAGCTCCCCCAGCTGGCTGCCCCCTGGTCCAGCTCCCCCAGCCGGCGGCTTCCTGCTCCAGCTCCCCCAGCTGGCTGCTCCCTGGTCCAGCTCCCCCAGCTGGCTGCCCCCTGGTCCAGCTCCCCCAGCTGGCGGCTTCCTGGTCCAGCTCCCCCAGCTGGCGGCTTCCTGGTCCAGCTGCCTCCAGCTGGCTGCCCCCTGGTCCAGCTCCCCCAGCTGGCTGCCCCCTGGTCCAGCTCCCCCAGCTGGCTGCCCCCTGGTCCAGCTCCCCCAGCTGGCTGCCCCCTGGTCCAGCTCCCCCAGCTGGCTGCTCCCTGGTCCAGCTCCCCCAGCTGGCTGCCCCCTGGTCCAGCTCCCCCAGCTGGCGGCTTCCTGGTCCAGCTCCCCCAGCTGGCGGCTTCCTGCTCCAGCTCCCCTAGCTGGCTGCTCCCTGGTCCAGCTCCCCCAGCTGGCTGCCCCCTGGTCCAGCTCCCCCAGCTGGCTGCCCCCTGGTCCAGCTCCCCCAGCCGGCGGCTTCCTGCTCCAGCTCCCCCAGCTGGCTGCTCCCTGGTCCAGCTCCCCCAGCTGGCTGCCCCCTGGTCCAGCTCCCCCAGCTGGCGGCTTCCTGGTCCAGCTCCCCCAGCTGGCGGCTTCCTGGTCCAGCTCCCCCAGCTGGCGGCTTCCTGGTCCAGCTCCCCCAGCTGGCGGCTTCCTGGTCCAGCTGCCTCCAGCTAGGTGCTCCCCACTTTAGCTGCCCCCAGATGGCTGCTATTTGGTCCAGCTACCTCCAGCTGGCTGCTCTCTGCTCCAGCTGCCTCCAGAAGAGACGAAAGGGACGGGGGGAGGTCGGCTTAAAACAGCTGGAGAAGCATTCGCCCGCGACCGTTTGTGGAAGTCGTGTGTTCGAGCCTGAGCACCGGCGTTTTGTTCTGTTGCAGTCGTGCTACCTTCCTCTGTCACTCCGACATCCAACTCCAGTCAGTCTCTTGGCGATTGCATTCCAACGGCCTCAGCGTTTACACGCGCCCTACGTATGCTCTCCCACACCAGCTCCACGATAACTCGACCTCCTCTTAGTCTCCGTCCCTGCGCGCCCCGTCGGCCGTGACCTCGACCAAGACTCGCGGGCGACAAGGGCGCATCCCATGCCCGGCGCAACGGGGCGGTCAAACCTACCGCACTGTCACCCTTGCATCGGTTTCAGTGGGATCATATGACGGTAAATGGCATGAGATGTTGAATGTGACGTAAAACCTCAAAAATTGAATAAACAGACCGCAGATGGACCAGCAACACCCCGGCATGTATGGAATGCATGACGAGCCGAATGATGTTTGTTTTTAATACCGTTCGGTTAGTCCTCGACAGAAGCTGCCGTCCTCCGTGCATTCGGCCAATATCTGCTGTGTTGTGTCGTTCCAAACAGCAACATCAAAGTTGACCCTCCCATGGGTATCATATGCCTTCGGGCTTACCCGCCTGGGCTGACACTCACCTCACTGACCTTGTATGACTGACCCGTGACCCCGCAGACGTGCTGTCGTCGCTGGTGGGGCCCGACCGTGCGCCCCAGCCTCCGGTCGACATCATGACCTTGTCTGACTGGTCCGTGACCCCGCAGGCGTGCTGTCGTCGCTGGTGGGGCCCGACCGTGCGCACCAGCCTCCGGTCGACAGTCATGACCTTCTCTGACTGGTCCGTGACCCCGCAGGCGTGCTGTCGTCTCTGGTGGGGCCCGACCGTGCGCCCCAGCCTCCGTTCGACATCAGTGACCTTGTCTGACTGACCCGTGACCCCGCAGGCGTGCTGTCGTCGCTGGTGGGGCCCGACCGTGCGCCCCAGCCTCCGGTCGACATCATGACCTTATCTGACTGACCCATGACCCCGCAGGCGTGCTGTCGTCGCTGGCGGGGTCCGACCGTGCGCCCCAGCCTCCGTTCAATAAACTGACCTTCTCTGACTGATCGATGACCCCGTAGGCATACTGTCATCGTTAGCAGGGCCTGACTGTCCGCCCCAGCCTCCGGTCAACATCCTGACCTCTGACTGACCCATGACCCCGCAGGCGTGCTGTCGTCGCTGGCGGGGCCTGACCGTGCACCCCAGCCTCCGGTCAACATCCTGGCCGACTTCGCCGGCGGCGGCCTCACCTGCGCCATGGGTATCATGGCTGCCTTGCTCGAGAGGACCAGGTCGGTACGGCGCGGGGCTGGCGCCACCGCCGGGTCGCCGTGCCTGTCGCTTCATAAGGCTATGGTGTTTTGGCTGCGTGGCAATGGACCGTAGGTTTTGTGGTGGACTTCTGTTTTCCCTTGTGATGGCATTGTCCAATGCGATTCCATGACTTGAGCCTGAGATTCTTGGTCGGATCCGGTGGTAATATGTACTGCGCCGTAACTAAATAGGCTCTAGTGCTTGTGTTTGCCGTCCGTGTACAACCCAGGACGGTTTATCCACGGCCAAGGTATTGCCAACGGCTACTTTCGCGAACGCCACGCGCTCCGCTTGTCCAACACGGCGTCGGGTCTTCGCCAGCTGAGACGGAACCCGTGACTCTATGTTCATCGGCGGTAGTGATTGGACGGGGTTCAGACAGGCGTTGCATGACGCCACCGTGACTGGTGACCGGCAGGTCGGGTCGGGGACAGGTCATCGACTGCAGCATGACGGAGGGTGCCGCTTACGTCAGCAGCTGGCTGTTCAAGTCCCGGGACCTGTTGCCGATCTGGGGCGAGGAGCCCGGATGTAACTGGTGAGTGCCCCACCCCCACTCCACCCCATCGGCACTATCACCAGTTCAGCAGTGTTGATCTCGTGTCCTGAAGACAGTTTGTGTTGTTTGTAGTAGTGCCAGCCACAGGGGGTCTGTGTAACTTGGGCGTATAGATTGCACGCTACGCCTCCATTATATTGTTGTTGCGCTAATGGCGTGCCGCCTACAGGAGCTCATGTCGCGTGAGGAGCGCAGCCCCCAGTCTGCACTGCTGCGCCCTCGGGCCGTGTTGTCAAAGTGCCGCCGCTCAAGCGAATGACCTCGGCGCGCTGAACCGGCGCTCGCGGGATGTTGCGGTGTATGTGTGATTAAGGGACTTGAGAGAAACCGTCACTGGTGGGACTTAATTAAACGTCTGCGACGGGGTCGAGTCTCATATTTTCAGGGGAGAGAGAGGCCCCAGAAACATCTTTTCAAGTGCTTTTGACGTTGGCGTTGTGTTTTAATGGGGGGGGGGGGAGAGAGGGGGGGGGGGGGCTCGAAATTGGGCGGGGGATGGGGCGGAGCAGGGCTCCCCCAAAGACGTATACAGTGTCCCTGGAACCGTTCCTAGTCATTGCTGAAAGATGGACTTGGACGTCACTGATCGCACCGCCACGTTATTGCCAGCAACAAGCAGGACACATCGTCAACAGTGGTGTTGTATTATTTTTGAAACATTACCATGTACCGTGTGATCAGGTCGAGTTTCCCGCAGTGCTGCAATCGTTCCGAATTTGCACATGCTACGCGTGAAAAGCCGAGACACGCTGGCTGAAACCAAGTCCGGACGTCGACGACACCCGTGCGCCAGCTGCGGGTCCGCCCGTTCTAGCCTTTCGATGTGTCGATGTTGGGTTTCGACAACCAAAGTACGTGAAGACGAGACACCAGACTGCTCGATGTCGGTGAATGTGCCGCCCTCAAACTGATAAGCGGTTACCACCTGTTCTGCGGGTTCTGTCGCGTGGACTTAATGGCCTTGATCGTGACACTGTTCGGCGCTTAGACGCGACAATAGTAGACCGAGAAGAGATCGATGTGGTCTTATCCAAAACTGGCATCGGATGTAAATACATTGGTTTAAACTAAGAGATATTGACTCGTGGAAAGTGCGTAAGTGCCTGGTTTGTTGTAGCTGTTATCCACCCAAACTATTGACTTTTCGACATTTATTGACAATTTTCGCAGTACTTCAATCACATGCACTAATAACGCAAACCATTCCAAATTCGTCAATTTTTCGGCTGAATGGCCAGCCTCAGAGCCATCCAACTTCAAAGCAATGCCGTTTTTTAAAGCGTGCGCGAACGCGAGACGTGGGTGTATGTCTGCCTGCTCGACTCATGCAAGGGAAATATCTCAGCGCATCGGTGGGAGCTTGATGCAAAGTTTCCCAGATGCGATGGACTCCATTTGCGTACGTTTTGGCGTCATTTACATAATGATATGCCGCTTCTGCTCTGACGTTCCTCCCCTGCTGTAACAGGCGTCTTATTGGAACGATTTAATCCACGATTCTCAGCCCAGAGCTGATCACAGGCCCGGCATAGCGAACCAGTGGTGGACCGCTGGCACTGGCGCCTCTGCTCGGTTGTGGTCCGCCAGCGCTGGCGCCTCTGCTCGGTCGCGGTCCGCCAGCACTGGCGCCTCTGCTCGGTTGTGGTCCGCCAGCACTGGCGCCTCTGCTCGGTCGCGGTCCGCCAGTACTGGCGCCTCTGCTCGGTTGCGGTCCGCCAGCGCTGGCGCCTCCACGCGGTCGCGGTCCGCCAGCGCTGGTGCCTCCTCTCGGTCCCGGCCCGCCAGCGTTGGCGGCTTCTTTCAGTCCCGGTCCGCCAGCGCTGGTGCCTCCTCTCGGTCCCGGCCCGCCGGCGTTGGCGGCTTCTCTCAGTCCCGGTCCGCCAGCGCTGGTGCCTCCTCTGGGTCCCGGCCCGCCAGCGTTGGCGGCTTCTCTCAGTCCCGGTCCGCCAGCGCTGGTGCCTCCTCTCGGTCCCGGCCCGCCAGCGTTGGCGGCTTCTTTCAGTCCTGGTCCGCCAGCGCTGGCGCCTTCGCTCGGTCCCGACCCGCCAGCGTTGGCGGCTTCTTTCAGTCCCGGTCCGCCAGCGCTGGCGCCTCCGCTCGGTCCCGGTCCGCCGCCGCCGGAGCGCCGCTGGTGGCGGTGACCGGCGCCGGCCGCGGGGCCAATTATGGCGGGCCGGCCACTGCCCCTGGACGCAGCGGCTCGTTTGTATTCGTGGAGCTGGCCGCGGTCTGCCCTGTCGGAGCTGTCCCGCTTCCATCGGGGCCCGGCTCAGGTATGTGGTCCCACCTGCCGGGGCCCGGCTCGAGTATGTTGCCCCCACCCGTGGGGGGAGGGGGGGGGGGGGGGCGCTCAGTGCTCCGGTTCGCGTACCGGCTGTCTGGGGCTGACTGGGCTGCACTGACGGCTGACTAACGACGTCTTGGGGACTGTGTGTTTGTCCTAGCACAGAACACATGTGAAGCCTTGCTACAACGCAGTCTCGGTCCTGGAATGACACCATAACTTGTATATGGGTGCGTAGTGCTATACGTTTTCAAATAAGGACTTCAATATGGACTTGCCAGCTTCTGCGCATGGCTGAAACGGGGTCGAAATATGCACTGAAGTTATCTATTTGTACGTGTGTTACAGTCCTGGACAGTTAATAGCGTTTGCGCTCGAGACCGAACTACGCAGGTTTCATTTAAGCTTTGACACTCCGACGTAGCGTGGCGATCTGGGGAGCATTCTGACTGCTCGCAATAATGTGAAATTTGCTCTTTTGAGTGTAATCCATTTTCACGGGACCTTAATTATGGCGCAATGATAAAAATGTCAATTTTCAGTTGTATATGGCTTCAGGTGGTCATTTTCAGATGCGGACCCTTTTCAAAATAGCTGCCTGCTTGGGAAAGTGATTTGCTGAACATGTTTTATGTATGCACTTGTTAACAGATGTATGCATATTTCAAAGCGCTCGGTAAGTATCCCGTTATGTGGATGCTGCCGTGACCGACCTTGCTCCGCCGTGTACTGTGCGCCGCCGGCCGGGCGTGCAGCAGCGGCGTGTGATGGGCGGCCCGCCGGCAGGCTCGACGGCGGCGCATTCTGGTACGGCTGCCACCGCACGGCCGACGATCGCCACATGGCCGTCGGTGCGCTCGAGCCGCAGTTCTTCGCCCGCTTCGCCGACCTGCTCGGCCTGCCCGACCTGGAGCAGTTCCCGATCGACAGCGCCGAGTCGCGCCGGCTCGTGGCCGCCGCCTTCGCCAGCCGCAGCCAGGCCGAGTGGACGGCCGTGTTTGCCGGACAGGATGCGTGCGTGACGCCCGTGCTGACGGCCGACGAGGCGGCGGCGTCGGCGCAGGCGGCGGCGCGCGCCAGCTTCGTGCCCGGGCCGCGCGGGGGCGCCGAGCCGGCGCCGGCACCGCGCATGTCGCGCACGCCGGCCGTGGGCGGCGGCGACGAGCCACGCCGGGGTCAGCACACGACCGAGCTGCTGCTGGAGGCCGGCTACGCCGCTGAAGAGGTGCGGCGCCTCATCGAGGACGGCGCTGTGGAGCAGTGCGAGAGTCGGAGTCGGCTGTAGGCACGACGGGTCGCCGTCGTTGGTAGACTGTCTGGAGTTAGAGGGACCCAGGGTGGATGGGTGGTTTGAGAGAGCGTGTCACGGCTCGGCTGGTGCTACGCTTGTGGGGAGCTTCCGCACTTCTAGGCAAAAACGTCGTTAAGCATTAGCTGCGTTGTTTTAAGGGACAGTTGTCATGGATGTGACGACAGGCCTGGTCATAGCTTGACCGTACCTTCTGCGTGGATGAATCGGGCATCGGGCCAACAATGTTGCCTGCATTGTTCTCGTTATCGACGCTCACAATCTGTCGTATCCCTGTGTTGGCATGTTCACGTCGCTGACCTTTGGCGGCCAATTGAAGACGCGTTTTGAATCCGGATATTTCTCATGACGCGCTGTGTGTGGATGTGGTACCGCACGGTTTATTGTACAACTCCATACACCGCATTAGGGGTACCTCCCGGTGAGGGACTCGTGGTAAGCTGACAATACGTTTTTCTACGCGACAAATTACGTTGGGCATGTGAAAGTTGGACGTCGCCGTGATGATCGTCAGCATGGGGAGCCGTCTACCGTGCGTCAACTGTCCAGCTGTCAGTGTCACTGGCGACGTCATCAGCTGCTCATGCCGCGATGGCCCGTGCTGGGGCGGTGCAAGACATGTGGGCAGTCATTAAGTCAGCGATATTTTTACTTGATGCTGGCAAGACTAGGCGTGCTCGAGAGTTCTGCAGTTACAATGCAACATTTGTATCACTTCTCCGTTTAGTTCCCTCCTGTTCCTGCTTACTTGCTTTCGACGGACTTACACGCCTGTGTCGTATATACGCCTGTATCTGGTGCCAAGTGAATGCCATACCTATCAGTAAATGCGGATGTTGGACTTAATTTGCAGGGTTGTTTATAAATATATAATCAATGGTGATATGCTGTGTTTGGGATCCGGGCACACGTTATGGATATGTATTGTGATCGAAACACTTGACTTATGCATTCTTGCATTCGCCGCGGTGTTCATAGTGGGAGTGGTATTCATGTCACTAGTGCTACGGCGAACACTCCGTCCTACAGGAGTGTTAATAACTAACTAGCAAATAGCTGCAAAAAGTTATGCAGACTACTCGTACGCGCAATTGCCCAATGCAGGTGATAATCCACGGATTATAGCTGTCAGTACCCCAACACATAGCTGAAGCCTCGCCAAACTCCCGGAGGCGACGGACTGGTGGGAGCACGTGGGTGGGCGAAATAAGACTGGAGGTACCCACTCCACGGTATCGATACCAGTCTGTATTACATTACTGCTGTTGCAAGTATTGGGATAGAAAAGCGCACGACAATAGTTTGTCAGTTATAAATAATATAAATAGTTGATAGAACCTCTCCTAAAATAAATAAATGCAAATAGTGCACAGCATTTCTTCAACTAAGAACGCATAGTGCGCTGCCGTAGTGTTGCAAAACAAGCATGGGGCAACGCAAGGTAAAACGGCCAAGACTACTCCGAAATACATGGAACGCAGCGTTTGCCCCGAACGTGACACACCTTCATATCACAGATGAGGGGTGGATAGGATATCCGCCGTCATCATTTTATCCCCGACTGAATACGAAACTACACAATGGCTTCGTGTTCCGATTTCCCCAGAGTGAGGCAAGTTATCTCATTTGGAAGGAAGTCATTCACAAGCAATTTACCCCAAAACGAAGACGTGCTTTCCAAAGCTGTACTGTGACATATAAGCTTGGCTGTATGTCACCGTTATAAGAATATTTGTGCTATCCTCACTGGTTAAAGCAGGAGGGAGCTCAGAGTAAAAATTGATGCTGCTCTCCCCACCCTCTCCCAGTGTTTAAAACTAGGTGTTGTAGTAAAGGAAACGATAGGTATAAGTTTTTGAAGCGTAAGAGTGTCGCGTAGCATTCATGCTGCGTATAAATCTTTGCGGCATAAGTAATGTCTGAAGAAGTAATGAACATGTAAGCTTTTGTCTCAGAAGTAATGACAGATAAACGCTTTTGCAGAGCAAGTTTTGCCATGCAGTACTAATATTGCGTGCGAGTATTTCCAACAGAAGTAATGCCGCTTATAAGTAAAGAATATACGCCTTTGCAGTATAACAAGTAGATGATACAAATTGCTGCAGCATAATTTTTGTCGCGTAGGGCTTGTATCGTTTCTACGTATCGACAGTTAAATAGATGTCGTAGCTCTACTGTCGGTATGAGCTTTTGTTGAAGCACTTATGTGGAACCGTTCATAGTTCGAAGTAATGGAATAGTGGAACCGTTCACAGTGACTGCCAACAACCACTGGCTGCCTAATGAGCAGCGTGTGACGTGTCCGTGGCACCACCCATTGGGTTGCCGCTCGATGGCTGTGCGACTTGGCTTTACCGAGAGAGTCTTTGATACGAATGCCGTGATGCCTAAAAATAGTGATACGCACCGGCGAAGAAACAATATTTGTCATAAAGTATTTTTTATACCAACGCGATCTTGTGCTACCGTTGCCACGCTCTAGTGTGGCGAGTAATGGTTCCGTTAATGTTGCAGTGTTTCGCCTCGGGCCGCTGTCCCACCCACGAACGTTCGGTACTTCAGAGTCCGAATGACAGGTTTTCTCCAAACAAAGTCTCAGGATCTCAAGGCCGACGGGCACACGGGAAACTATTTCGGCATGCCCTGATTCCGCCGGGCGCAGCCGAAAGGCAGAAGTTTTCCTATCGGTTTTAGCTGCACGGAGCTAATCCCAATGGGGTTCGCCAGTGTAAGATACTACAGCAAAAAAAGAAATGGAACAATGCAGCATATTGAAGCAGGATCCGCCCACGGGTGCCCAATCTAGTCCACGGTTACGTAATGAAACGGGGTCTTCATTGGACATTAGATGACCGCATTAAGCTTCGTCGAAGCAAAGTAATTACGCCGGCTTGGCCCTCTGTATTTCGGAAGCGGCTTCCTTGCTAGATGACGTGTCACGAGTAAGCGCGGAAGATCCAGGCTCCTGGTTTTTGGCATCAGGCGTTTCCGTGCCAAGAAACAATGAGCTTTCAATATACTTGATGTGCTGGTGAGATGAGGCATCGTAAGTAATGGGATACGCGATGAGAATATTTGGCATTTCCAGTTGTCTTTATGGTCACGACTAAACGAGTGGTTCTATTATTTTTATTACTTGACATCAGCTTACACTCAATACACAAATCTATGGTTATTACATGTCATTTGTCGGAGATAGCTGAATGAGTCAAAAACAACGAAAAGTGATATGGAACGAATGCATCCAAACACATGCCTACACATCAACACATCAATACTACACAACCCGCTTGCTCTAAGTATGGCTTGGTAGCGCGCTTAAGGCTTGTCGGATTCAGTCGTCCTGCCCCCACCACCAACCGGCCTAGAAACGGTGATTAAAAAACAGAAATCGAGTAAACTATGCAAAAAGTTTCGAGTCAGTGAAAATTCAAGAAAAAATCGCTGAGCTCCGGCATCCTAACGTAAGACACACGCTGCTACCCGAACGGCAGCTCGAAGTGCCGACAACCAACCTGCACTATTGCGATGCCCCGTACCGACCACAGGGTTAAAATGTTCAACGCGTTCTGCGCGGTTGGAGAAGGAGGGGGGGGGGGGGAGGAAATTGCCCCTAAGATCTCAGAAACTAAGTTGGCTAGAGGCACAGTTCACAGCGTAAGTAGGCCTGTAAATGGACTATTTCTTCTTCAAATTTGGAGGTCCCTTGGTCGTGACTTTCGAGTAAACTAAGGTCGAATAAGATCAAAATACAGATCGGCATCCGAAGTGCCCTCAGGCCTCACGCAACTACCTTTACCATATACGACTCCTGTAAGCAAAACGGAAAATGCCCTTTGACATCCGGGGCCCCGCCGCTACCTCTGGTCAGGAAATGGGCTTATGACCCACTGGAAGATCCTTGCTGACATAGACTCCCCTGTTAGACACTCTTGGCCCCCTGGCCGACGCAGGGCGCCCATTGTCTCAGGGATCCGACCAATGTTAGAGCTCTTATAACTGACATTTGTGGGCCACTGACTGTCGCTGCTGGAAAATGGGCCCCTGACCGACACAGGCCAGACTGGTTGACGTTTGCTGACTCTTGCCGACATAGGCACCCTCGAATTGTCTCAGGGGGAAGCGGATCGGCGAAATATTTCTGAATGGTATTCAAGGGCTACGACCTGTAGGGCCGGGGCTCGTTAGCACGCTCTCGGATCAATCGGATCACGCGGGGAATAAATTTGACCCCCAAATGTTTTACCACAATTATTTCCGAACGGTACTGCGTAGCTACGCTAAACTTTACATAGCTATAGATAATTAAACAACGGATCTTTCTTTTTAAAAATGTGATGCACCTTGCAAGGTTACTGACATATAGCAGGTCCAGCTCAGGCCTTGGCAGTCGGCGAAGACCATTTCTAGGGAATTGTGCAGTCTTGCGACAACAGTGCTAGCCGAAGCTATACATCTCTGGGACAGTTTTTTAGGCAGTACACCAACTGAATTAATAAATAAAACCAATTTCACTGATCTGGGTCAGGTATGAAGATCAGACCGAGGTCAAAACTAATCTGCTTCTTTAGTTTGAGAAGCAGGCTGGCTTGCTTGCTTGCTTGCGTGGAGAGCTTGCTTATAGCGGGTAGTTTTTGGTGCTCATTTCGAATTTATAAATGGCAGAGACCGTAACAGCCATGTTCCATAAACTTTTCAACGTCAGATTAGGTCACCGACCTAAAATGACCAAGGCCAACCTTCTGTTTTTAGGAACACACCGCCTGGCGTAATCCTGGAAGCTCATTTCAATGAAAAATGATCCAAATTTCGTAGTTTTTAGTCGCCTTGACCTTTTTAACACGCGCCCGGGCGGCCGGCTAGATACCCTTCGCTTGGGTGTGCGGGTCAATTTGACCCCCTGAGATCTCGGGAACTAAGAAAGCTAGATACACCAGATTTACAGGGTGTGTTGACCTGTACGTAAACACACTTAGGTAAACGTTTCAGGTTCCTAGGTCATGACCTTGGGGTCAAAAAGTTCAAACAAGATCAAGTTCCAAGATGGTCTTCAAAGTGCCCCAGAACATAGGTAACCGTTTCTAAGCCAAAGGTCACATTCTCATTCAATGTCAGTGATCTTGTTTGGCCTTTCGAAGGTCAAGGTGACCAAAATCACACAAGATTTCTTTGAGTTTTCCATTTGACTAAGCGACAAAGATTACGCTAGGCAATATGTTCCTAAAACAAAGTGTTGACCTTGGTCATTTTAGGTCAATGACCTATTCTGACCTCTAAGAGGTCCATGCAATATGTATAATGCGGTTCCTGCTATCAATAAACTCGAAATGAGCACCAAAAACTATCGCATACAGAAAGCCCTAGAGTAGCAAAACAGGTTGGTTTTGACCTTGCTGTGAACTTCATACCTGACCTTGCGTCGATGTAATTTGCTCATTCAACTGTTGCGTTGCCTAACAAAGCATCTCAGAGATGTATGGCTTCGTCTAACACTCCGTTGTTTGATTATATTGAAGAATTCCCTAGAAATTGCCTTCGTTGAAGCCATGGCCTGACTGGCCTGCCATAGGTCAGCGACCTTACAAAGTACACCTCAATTCTTGATTTCAAACGATCCGCTAATCAAGTGTTAAAGCTATGCAAAATTTGGCGCGGCTACACCGCGCCGTTCGGAACCATTCTGGAAAACCTTTTGGGGGGAGGGTGGTCAACTTGACCCCCGCTCGGGCGCGTGTTAAGGCAAAAAGGCCTCTAACCATGAATAAACACAATTGACCTTTTGCTTAGAGCAGACATCTAGGTTCACAGCGGTTGCGTGAGAAGATCTGGGGGACCTTTGGAACCCAACCTGGAATTTTACCTTTTTCGACCTTATT